TCCTGGTTCCCGTCTCTCCTACCACCATATGCCTCCTTACAAAAAAGGGAGAAATTCCTTCCTTGTTACCTTTCTTCCTCCCACGGACATGGCTGATGTTATGATTTAGATAAGAAGTGTCCCCCAAAAACTCATGTGAGACAACGCAAGAAAATTTAGAGGTGGAGTGATTGGGTTATGAGAGCCTTAACCTAACCAGTGCATTCATCCGCAATAGGGATTAACTGGGTGGTAACTGAAGGCTGGTAGGGTGTGGCCCCAGGTCACCAAGGTGATCCTTTGGGGTTTATATTTTGTCTCTGGAGAGCAGAGCTCTCTCTGCTTCCTTGTTGCCACATTCTGAGCTGCTTTTCCTCTGCCTTGATGTGCTGCTCCACCTTGGGCCCAGAGCAACGGAATGAGCCATCTAGGAACTGAGACCTCTGAAACCCTGAGCACCAAAGAAACTTTTCCTCTTCTAATCATTTTGGTCTGGTCTTTTGGTCATAGTGATGAAAAAGCTGACTAAAACAGCAGTGGTCAGAGTCAGAGGGTGAGGCCAAGGCCTGATCCACCCATGAGAACTTCCATCTCCACTGCCTCTCCCACCCTCTCACCCATCACACCGAGACCCACAGCCTGCAGGGCCCTTTGCACACTGCCCACTTCTCAGACCTCACCACCTCCCATGTTGCTCCTTACTCACTTTGGCCAGATGCTGCAACTTCCATTTCTCCCTTGAATGCACGCGACAGCTTCAGGGTCTGGTACAGCTGTCCCAGATGCTCTGCCTCAACCTCTCTCTTCCAAACCCACCTGGCTGTTCCTTTTGTCATTCAGGTTAAAAGACACCTTTCAAGAGGGGCCTTCTCTGACCTTCCAAGCCCCTTGGATACTTTTTAAAATTACATTCCTTCTTTGTTACTTTCCCCTAGGAATTTACTGCTATCTGACATTCTCTTATTATTATTATTTTTCTCTCCAAAGAGAACACCACATCCATGAGAGCAGGGACATCGTCCATCTTTTTCCCACTGTAGGAGTAGAACCTAGACAGCACTTGGCATACACCAGCCAACAGAGACATTACCCCAGTGCCAGGCTCAAAGGATAAGAGCCAAGAGAAGGGAAAGTCTAGGCCTAAGCAGCTCAGGAAATGAGGAGAAAGGCAGAAGGCAAGAAAGGGCAGGCTACAAAATCTGGAGGGCAAGAAGGAGCCAGGCAAGTGTGATGTGGAAGGAGTGGCAGAGAGAAGCTGAATGGCTATGGAATGTTAGCCTAAGCTGCTGACCTTCCCAGGACAGTGCCCCAGTGTCCAAAGAAGCAAGCAGGTGAGACATAGCAGAGTTAACAACGTGTAGTTGAACCACAAGGGGGAATCTCACACCCACCTGGCCTCAGGTTTCCATTACTGTTCCCAAGAGAACCAAAGTGGACCAGGTCTGCCATTTTAGATAAGAGGGGATCACTGGGGATCAGAATTTGGGTCAGGTCATTAGAAACAGAGATCAATTCACCTCAGAAACAAAAACGGCATTGACTGGGGCAAGTGGCACCATTTGTGCCACAATTCCCATGATGTCCTGATAGGCATGGCCCCAGCTATGCTGGACAAAGAGATGCAGATGAGGCTGTACTGCAAAGCTCTGGCTTCATATGTGGTTGGGAGACAAAAGCCAACACACTTCTTTCTGGACTGACAGAGAAATGCCCTCTGCACCCCAGGAATGAATGCTCTTGACCGTGCCACACAGTCTGCCAGGAGAACTTCCAGATGGCACTTTTGAATTCCTAAGTCCCAACAGAAGTCCAGAAGTTTCTTTTCAAATTAGCAGAACCAGAATTGGTGGAGAGTAGGTTAGGAGCTACACTTTGACACTTCTACAGATGTTCCTCCCCCTGCAATGTGGTTATATCCTAATAAATCCATAAGTTGAGAACAACATTAGTTGAAAATGCATTTAATACACCTAACCTATCAAACATCACAGCTTAGCCTAGCCTCCCTAGGCAAAATCATCAAACACAAATCCTATTTTACAATAATGTGTTGAATATTTCATGCAGTTTATTCAATACTGCACTGAAAGTAAAAGAATAGTTTACGTGTATGCTTTTGCATCGTCAGAAAGTGGAACAATTTTAAGTTGGAGGCCATCTGTGTTACTGTTTGAGTACTACTCAAACTAATAGCACTAGCAGGCACATGCCAGGCTGCTGACACGCAGCACCTTGTACAAGCAACACAGTCCCTGGTGAGAGAGGTACTGGTACATCACTTTAGAAGTAGTTTGTGCCTATAGGGCTCAGACTATGCAGACAGGATGTGGCAAAGCCACACTGTCTAGCTCCCCAACTCACCATAATAACTGCTGTGACTCTTGACCTGTTACTCAGAAACAGTGTTTCCAGAGGGCAGAGGAACACTGCTTTGGATGTGCTCCTAATGAAGGGGATCCAACCACGCACAGGGATGAGAAACACTTAGAAAACACACATACACACACACACACACACCCTACAAGATAAGAAGACTCACCCAAAGACTATCTAGGTTGGGACTGACAAGTCGTTTTGATAAAGGATCCAACAATCAATATTTTAGGTTGTGCAGTCTCAGTGGCAACTAATACATAAACAAATGGGCATGGCTGTATTCTAATAAACTTTATTTATAAAAACTGGTAGCAAGGAGGAGTTGGGCCACAGGCCATAGGTTGCTGACTCTGCCTTAGACCACCAGAGTCCTGGGAAACCATTGGGTCTATGAGTAACACGACCAGATGAATGTTAAGAATGACTTATGGTGATTGCTGAACGATGGATTCAGAATATATAAGATGTTTTGCGAAATAAATATTGGTATTACTGTGTTTATCTTATATTGAATTTGTTATAAACAAATGCTAGTGGCTATGTTCCAATAAAACTCTATTTGCACAAATAAGCAACAGTCTGAATTTGGCCCATAGGTCAAACTTGGTGGCCAAACTGAAATAACAAAAAATAGTTATCTGGGCTAGGGATATAGCACAGTTGGTAGAGTGCTTGCCTTACATGCACAAGGCCCTGGGTTCAATCCCCAGCAAAACACACACACACACACACACACACACAGAGTTATCTGCTTGAGAACATCTGTAAGAAGATGGTGTCAGATTCTGCTTGCTGTTTCTACTCTTGGAGCAGTGATTCTCCAAAGTAGCAGAGAGGGGAGTCATTATTCCCTCACACTGAAGCCATGTTTTATTGTTAAAACCAGGGAGGTGCTACTGGCATCTATTGCTAAAATCTTATCTTGCATGAACAACCTCCCACAATAAAGACACATCTAGCCCTAGGGCCCAATAACAACAGATGAGAAAGCCTTATATTAGCAGGATCTCACCACACAGGGATCCCAAATACCTCTAGCACAAACACACTTCAGTCCAATTAAATTCCAGAAACTCAGCTGCAAAGACCACTTTGATATATCAGGTTCATCTGATGAAAGAACACTAGCAATGTGAGTTAGACTTGCTGATGAGGCCTATCTGACTCTCTTCTGTTTTTGAGAACAAGATGAATAACTTCACGAAGATTCGTCTATAAAAGGACCAGGTTGGAATAAATAATTCCTTTAGCTTCTGTGAGATACAAATTCCTATGATTGAGAGCATGCAAGGTGGTTGAAATTCTAACAAACTACTTTGCTCTTTTTGGTAACTTTTTAGAAAGAATAATCTCTCTGTAGGGCTGAAAAGCTAAGACCAGATCATTGTGCTTTACAGTGTAGAGGAAGCCTTCCCTCTGAGATGTTTAGCAGCACCCAAGAAACAAACAAACAAAAGTCAAGACAACCAGTGAAATTGAAAGTCTGTTAAGTGTACCACTAACATGGCTTCTTCCTGTCCATGTAAAAGGTTTGACAGACTGAGATAAACAGGAGGAGGAAATTGCTACAGTTACTCTCCTTTCCTCCCAAAGGTGGAACAAGGACCATATAAACCAAAAAAAATGGAAACAGCATCACCACCTGTTACATCATCCACATTGGCAACACCAATGGTGCCTGTCTGTTCTTTTTGTTTTTCCTCTAGTGTGACTTATACTACTCTGAGAAACTACCCAATTTTTCAGTGTGGGCTCTCAAAGTGGAGCCTCATTTTTTTTAAATTCAGAAAACACATGTATAAATGTGTGTGTGCGCATAGACATATACTGAAATGTTAATTGTGGATATGGCCTGAAGAGCTCCACTGATGTGTGATCTCTTACTTTCTCTATTTTTTTTTGTCTACAATTCAGCATAAATGTTACTGAAAGAAAAGATATCCTATATTTGTGTGTGTGTGTGTGTGTGTGTGTGTATATGTTTTACTCTATATTATCTCAAAAAGTATCTGAAGTGCCTAAAAATAAGCAACAGGTACAAAAAGATTTCTCTCAAAGTGACACAAGAGCAAGAATCAAGAGCAGTCAAATCTGAAAAGGGCAAAAAGAAAAGCTATTAGCTATTAGCCCTCACATAAGCTCCCATGTCCTGCACACTGCCCGGACACACACACACACACACACACACACACACACACACACACACATTTGGCTCTAAGCTTGGTGACATTCAAAAAAAACACTCCTCCCCACCCTCCTCACCCCACCTCACCTCATCCCCACCATCCCTAATTAAGTTTTGTGTAGGGACAGATAATAAGTGTTTTTCAGCGTTCCATGAAAACACTCCCATTTGAGATCATGCAGTCCAGAAATGTGTTGATGGAGGAGGATCTAGCTGTAAACATGACCCAGAGTGCTGCCTGTACTGACCATCATTCGGGGGGAAGGTATGTGTGTGCACAGGAGCTTGCCATCTCCCAAAAGGCATTGCTTTACCTGTCTAAAATTGTCCCCGTGTATGTGATTCATTGCCCAAGAAGCGACAATAATAAATAATCAATGGCAAGTTCAAGTCTAGGAGCCTCCAGGATTCTTTCACTGGCTCCCGGCCAAACTCCCGCCACCCCCAGCACAGCACTTACCATAAGCTGTCATGACACCAGCGTATGGCCCATCTACCACATTCCTGTTTTCTTCTGCCAGTGCCTTGATGTACCTTTTGCTGAGGTCCAGGATTTGCTCCCGCAGCACAGAGCTGCTTTCAGGCTGAGTTCGCTGTTGGATGGTAAAATGCAGAAGCATCATACCCCAAATGAAGCCAAAAGTCACCAGGAAAAAGCCCAGCTTCTGAGAGGACAACTTCCAGGGAGTAAAAAGAGCCATTGCTCTCTGGCAACTTCACCTGCCCTTGGCTCTCAACACATAGAAGGTGGACTCAAGTTCATGGTGTAGGTTGTGTCTGCAAGTCTGCGGGTCTCACTCGGGCTCCTGGGTCAGCCGATTTCCTTTCCTTGCTTCCATTCTGCTGTGAAGGAGGACGACAGTTAGCAAAGTGGCCGTGGTAAAGCATAGCAAAACAAGCCATAAGTCATGATTTCACTCGGATAGCTCAACATCAAATGTCAACTTCCTTTTTTTTTCTTTATTTGCTGGTTCGGCACCTTAATTTATGATTTGGCATGTGTAAGCTGAGAGGGGAAATCTGGTGAGACAACAAGAAGCTGTACAAACACGGCCGGGGAAGTGTGTCTGAGTGAGTTAACAGGTGGAGTGGGGCTGCTCCTGTCTGGACCAAGGTCAAAACAGGAAGCTTGTTTTGCAAGGTGGGGAAGAGATAGAAGGATATTTTACTGCATGTCAGCAGAAACCTAAGCAAAGGATAGAGTCATACCATGGGGTACTTTGTGTGTCTGTAACTTGAGCTCACAAAGTCATTATTATGTGCTTTGGACAAGGATTAGTGCATGCAGCTGAAGAGGTCAGCAAGAAAGTGGATGTCCTCTCAAGGGTGGGCAACAAGGAAGTGAGAGAGAACCCCATCTTATTTAACCATGCCTGGCTTTCATTATCAGTGTTTAAAGATGAGATAATTCTCCTAGCACAGAGAGAGCCAGCGGTGCAGTCACTGATCTTCCTGTGCCAGCTTTTTTTTTTTTTTTTGCAGTGCTTGCGATCGAACCCAGAAACCCAGCATGCAAGGCCTGTGCTCCAACACTGAGCTCCACCCCCACCTTAGTTCTAGCTATCTTAAACGAAAACTGATTTTCATTTGTTCACTGGTACACTGTGAAACACAGGAAACACAAAGTACCAGGCTGTCTGCTTTGCTGTGGTTCTCACTTTCACTCCCATCGTGTAGTGTAGCAAAGTGAAAAGTTAAAGGACAGAGTTTCATAAACTAAGGTGGTCGATCCCATGTGATACCAGCACATGATGAGCCAAAGTTCTTAATCAGGGCTTCTCAGCAAGGGGGACCTGACCATAGACTGCAAAGGGGTTACCAGTATTCCAATTTATCTGCCTTTTCTGCTAGAGACCTAGGTTCAGGAACCAGCCAGTTGACAAAAGTGCCACTCGGGGAGAGGCTAAGCAATGATCTCCTACAAGGGACTAACCCAGGATGTATTGCAGAGTGCAAATGTTTTGGGTCAAAGGGATCTTCTTTGCAAGCAGCCTAAGAGGAAATGAAAGCAGGATCTTGGAGCAATTAGATTACAGAGTGTGCAATTCAGTGGATCTCTATTGGTCTGTCTCTTAAGGCCTTCCCCTCACCTGTCAACAGGTACTTCTACTAATAACATTAAATAATAAATAAGTTCTAGCTGTATCCCAGATATTGTGTTAAATGCTGCTTTGTACCTTAGCTTGTTGGATGCTCATAAAAGTTCTAGTAAGTCTTAATATTACCATCTCCCATTTATGAGAAACAAATTAGATGAGAAAATAAAGTTACCGGAGATTGCTTAGCAATAATAATTAATCAGCTAGGTGGCAGAGGAGAGATAACCTAAGGAAGCCCTGGGATCAGTAAACTTGCATCCAGCTGCCCCTCCCTTCCCCATTCCCCCAAATAGCTTATCTGAGTAAGGCTCAGGATGGTATGTACATGCTTACAGGAATATGGAAAGTAACAAAGAAGAATATATATGGAGACCCTATGTAGCACAAAATCTAAAATATTTGCTTTCTGGCCCTTAACAGAAAAGGTATGTCAACCTCTGAATTCTAGGCTAGCGGATCTCAAAGTGTGATCCCTGAACTCACCAATCACTACATCACCAGTGAGAAATGCATATTCTCCAGCCCTACCCCAGACCTACTGAATCAGCAACTCTGGAGGCCTAGAGCCTTGCATCAACAAACCCACAGGGCGATCCTGATGCATGCTCAATTTCAGAAGCCCTAATCCACAGTCAGATTCCAGGTGCATGCCTTACATCACTGTGCTACGCCATCACCAGGCCAATGTGATTAGTGTGATTAGGCTCAAATCCCATCTTGAGCTACTTTAAAACATAAGTTCCTGTACCCTTACACACCTGCTGTTCTGCTCATCACCATGAACCCGATGCATCCTTCAGGCAGCTCCCCCTCTTCCCTCAAGCTGCTCCTTACACCTGGCCATCTTGTTTCACTGTGTCACGCTGCCAATCCAAATCCAGCCTGCTCTCCAAGCCCCACCTGTCTCAGCCCACGTTCCCCACTGCTCTAGCCTACAGTGTTCCCTTCTTGGTCTGAAATCTAAAACACTTGTCTGGCTACTTTGGATTGTTTACCAGTTTCTGAGTGGGTACTATAGATTGGAACTTCAATGCACCCCAAAGGTTCATATGTTGAAGGTTTGGTCCCCAGTCTGTGGTGCTTTTGAGAAATGGTAGGACCTTTAGTAAGAGAGATCTAGTGAAAGGAAGTGGATCATTGGGAGTGTGGCCTTGAAGGGGATATTGGGACCCCAGCCAATATCCAAGAGCCCTCCTTGGCCACATGCTTGCCACAATGTTTTTCTATAGGAGAAAAAAGTAAAGGACCAACCAATCACGGACTCAAACCTCCTAAACTGTGAGCTGAAACAGTCTTTCCTCCTTACAAGTTGATCATCTCAGATATTTTTTCACAGTGATGCAAAGCTAACACAGTGAGATACCATGACATTGTTTGGGAGAGCGCCTCTCCCCCCGCCCACCCACCAGCCCTACAACACACAGATGCTTCCCCACTTAGGCTGGGGTTACGTCCTAACAAACACACCCTACATTGAAATTATTAAGTTGAAAATGTATTTAACACACCTAACCTAGTGAACTCAGTTTGATCTGGCCTATCTTAATTATACTTGGAACAATTACATTAGCATCCAATTGGGCGAAAGCATCTAATGCAAATCCTACATGATAATAAAATGTTCCACAAATCCTAAGTCAAACTATTCCAATTCAGGGACCATCTGTGCATACCTTCTCAGAGAAAGGCAAAGCACAATAAAATATCTGTTGACTAAACAAACTTGTCATGGGGCACCATGGCACGGTATTCTGCCCTACTCAACAATGACCAGCTGAACAGCATCTTCCCTTTCTTTCTGCCATGTGTTCTACCAATATACACACATGGAGTACCTGTTTCCCTCAGGCCCTTTTGACTGAACAGGGAGCCAGTTAGAACTTCTGCCCTAAGGAAGCTAGAGCAGTTAAAGCACTCCACTAACTGGGCACTGCTCTGACTTCCTCAGGAAGTAACTCTGCTTCCTTTTTGATAACCTATACTCACTAGTCCCCCAGGACAAGTAATGAGGTGCTCTACCAAGGAGGACAGTTTGTGGGTTATTTTCGTTGATTATTTCAGCACACAGACCCAACTGTTGACAGGAATTACGGGTCAACTTTCAGACAGAAAGCCCCACTCTACTTCCTCAGTGAACCCACTGAAGAGACTGCTCAAGTCTGCACAATTTAAGCCATGGAAAGACCAAGAAGAGGAAGTAGACAAGTGCTCTGTTAGAAGGTGGAAGGCTACTAAACCTTTGCCTCGGGAGGGTCAGATCTACCAAGATGATGCATTCAAGGGGTAAGAAGAAGACGGCCAAGAAACCTAGCCTGCATGAAATTATTCTAGCTTAGACAGATGCAAATTAGCTGTGAAAATCCCTAGCTATAAAGAGTTCAGAGTACTTGAGGGCCCAGGTATTAAGTGATTATAGAATCGCCAGGGATGATCTTTCCTCTAGTGGAATGCAGAGTGTGAAATTACAGAAACCATCAGCATGCACATTAGAATTCATCTCTACGGTTCCTGTTAAGGAGACAGAATTTAAGACTTTTCAAAAGCATTATTCAGGAGACACCCCTATCTCCCACAGTAACAGGAAGATAATGAGGATCCAGAACAGCCATCTTTGCAGAGAGCCTTCGTGCCAAAAAAGGACTAATGATGATCATTAGTAATGAACACAATTAATGGAGAGGCCTTGGACTAACAGCAATCAAAAAGTAGTCTTTCAAGCTGAGAATGTGCCTGCCTCAAAACTTAGCAGTTGGGTCCTATAGCTAAGTGAATCCAAGGGACAGAATAAACAACTATATAGTAAATCTTAGAGGACCCTGTTGCCAACCAGATGGATGACAGTCCAGAGCCATGATTTCATCAATCCTCAAGACAGAAGTTTATGCCATTTCTTCCCCTTTACATATCCCCTCCATTCCAATTCCTAAAAGAGTATCATTTATTTCTTCTTTCCCACTCATTTCTCAACACAGTAAAATCTGGCTTCTGCCTTTTCAAATGTGTTCAAAGATCTTTGGAAAGGAAATATGTCAGTTCTCCTAATTGGAAAAAGAAAAAGGAACATACGAAGATGTTTGGTATCATTAACCATTAAGGGAAATCAAAATTATAATAAGACATGGCTTTACATCCATTTGGATGGTCAAGATAAATCAATTTAGGCAAGAACAAGTGTTGGTGAGGATGTGGAAAAATGGAATAGTCTCATACATGTAAAATGGTACAGCCAGTGTTGGAAACTGTTGTGGAAAAATGTTGTGGTTCCTCAAATACTTAAACAGGGAGCTACCATGTAATCCAAACAATATGCTCCCAGGAATTCTCCCAAGAGAAATGAAAACTTAGGTCCACACAAAAACTGACCAATTATCATAGCAGTATTATTCATAATAGAGAAACAACCCAAATCTCCATCAACAGAGAAATGGATAAACAAAACTAGCTTTAGGCTAAACTGGAATATTATTTGGCCTCAAAAGAAATGAAGAACTGATTATATGAAATATGGCTGATCCTTGAGAACATTATGCTAAGTGAAAAAACATCTCAGTTATTGAAAATCACATATGATTCCATTTACATAAAATGTCTGAAATAGACAAATCCATAGAGACAAAAGGTACACTAGTGCTTGCTAAGGGCTGGGAAGAGGGTAGAGAATAGAGGAATTGGGAAGTGACATCTTAGGTATACAGAGTTTCTTTTCAGGGTAACAACAATGCTCTGAAACTGACTGTTTATAGA